AACTTGCCCTGTGCCGCCTCCTGTAGCATGTTCTGTCCAAACTCAATCGCTCCTCCCGCATTAAAAATCAACTTGAAGGTTGCAGAACCTTCCCAACCACCTGCAGCAGTGATGGAAACACTCTTCAGTAAACTTTATTACTACGAGTACATTGTCTCTTCCCTTTTGATGTTCAGATTACACTAAACCTGGACTCTTCATGTACTTTCTTCCAAGGACCAGATTATTCAAATGAAAACTAAAGGAGGGTCTTGATTCAGATCTGAGTACTTTTATTTGAAGCTGAACATGTTAACATGAAAATCAAAATTGAACACCCTTAATACTGTGTTTTTTAACATGAATGCATAATATATATATATATAATAAAAATATATATTATTATATTAACACCAATATTGTGTAATATAGAGATGTGTCAATTGTTTTGAATTAATTACATGATATGAAAGTTAATTTATTGAATCAGTTGCAATTATTTGCATTATTCGAATTCGAGGTGTTTTACCTCCAGGCTCGGCGCTGATCGTTCCCTTGATGTAGTTGGCACCAAGTACTGGCTGTTTGACCTCACAGGCCTTCATAAGATAAAACGGCATCATGAAAGACTGCAGAGGGTCCTTCCCTTTAGTCAAGAAGATCACCTAAAGATCAAACCACAGCAGTTCAAATGATGAACACATTCATTTACTGAGGTTATTTACAAACCACTGAAAAAGACCTTATTGCACATTTCTAAATTTTATATATCACATGCATCATGTAGCCAATCAGGAGACAGACGATGCCCAAATCCATCAGGTTTATCATATTAAAAATATGTTTAAAGATAATGCACACTTTTATTATTTAATTGTTTCCTTGCTCTGTCCTTATCATCATTAAAAACATAAGATGATGGTCTGAACTCCTCCTCTTGTATAATGTACCCTGTAAGGTGTCAGGTAAACGCTGCCCTTCTTGCTTTTTCTGAAGGCTTCTGGCAAGCATTCTGTGTCACTGAACACCAGCTCCACATTCTCATATGACATCAAGACACTGCAGGAAAACAGATTTGGTTTATTACAGTCAGCACATTCTCTGCCAACACATCACTGACAAGGAACAAAGACTGTTGTTTATAAATGTAAAGAATACCAGCAATCAAATAAAGTTGTCTCTTGTTATAATAATTCACTATAAATAATAATAATAAAATACTACTATTATTAAATAAATAATGTAAAAATATGAAAAATAAATTAATATAAATAAAATATATATTATTACAATTTATAATGATATATACATTTAAGAAATAAAATAATAATATAATAATAATAATTGTCATTTTAAGTTGTAGTTATAAGAACATTTGTATCAATAATAATAATATTAATGAATATAATATAAATAAAAGTAGAAATTATATAAATAAAAAATCAATAATATAAAAACAAAATATTATATATTATTATTATAAGTTGTAGTACTTAAACATTTATCTGTAATATTATAAAAATGTAATATAAATAGTAGTAGTAAGTAGTAAAATTATTAAAAATACATTAAAATAAATACAAATATAATAACTTATTAAGATAATAATAACAATAATGGGTATGAATAAAAACGTAATGTACAAGGAGATGCAAAAAAGTTAAATAAATAAAAATGCTTAAATAAAAAGTATCATTCGATATCAAATATATTTGGGTATTTATGTGATATATGTATATCTGTTGTCCTCATTTGCAAGTCGCTTTGGATAAAAGCATCTGCTAAATGACTAAATAAATAAAAATAAATAAATAAAAATATGTTAATGGTTTGTTGATATGTTAGTGATATGTTGTCATAGCTGGTGTCATCAATCTTAGTCTTTATCAGTTGTGTAATAAGATCACAGCTATTGTGAAACTTTAAGAGCATGTCATTTCTTTTAGAAGAAGCTTAAGAAGATTATTGCTGACCTACTGCGACTAACACAAGCATTTACAGCACAGCAGAAATACCAATCCTACGATGGCGAGGGCTGAGCTCATTACTATTAATTAGGTAACGTGGCATGCCTCCAGCTGATTGGCTGAAACACAAACGGGTTCGTCGGTCGGCATGCGTCATGAATATTAATAGAGCTGCGTGACTGAACGCTGCAGGAAGGTTTCCAAGCAACTTGAGCATGACTGAATTATTTAATATTCATAGACGCAAACTTCGCCATAGTAGGATCCTGAAAGCTGCGCAAGATCCATGTTTTTAAAAGATAACAACTTATGTGACTGATTATGGGCTGCATTTACAGCGTGTAAACATAATGTTGCTTAAAATGAATACATAAACAGCTGACAGTATGAAAACAGTGCAAATGAATAAAACGGGTGTGATCTAACGGTTCACGTGATGTTATTCAACACATGACACTGTAGACTGTACTATTCATATTATGTGAACAGAAAAACCTCAAACACGACGTTTTGGACAAATCCGTGAAATCAAAAATAGGACAGTACCAGATTTATATAGCAATAATGAATACGCGACATTACCTTTCGCTGTTGTTGATGATAACACCTCCAGATTCAGAATGATTGTTGTTGAGGGCCATGCTTGAAATCTGTCTGTTATTGTGCGAAACTGACGCTCTACATTCTACGAGCGTTACTCAAAGATCCACCCGCACTTCCGGCATAGGTCACGCCCCCCCGGTGACGTCAACGAGCGGGTTTGAGACATTTCCCGAACCTTCTCAAATAACAAATAAATATTCATCTAATCAAAGCAGAATAATCTTAATCTCATAATATTTAATTTTTCTTAGATAGATAGATAGATAGATAGATAGATAGATAGACAGATAGATGATAGATAGATAGATAGAGAGATAGATAGATAGATGATAGAGAGAGATAGATAGAGAGAGAGAGATAGAGAGACAGATAGATAGATAGAGAGATAGATAGATAGATAGAGAGATAGAGAGTTAATAAATAATAAATTATTTTCACGCAGCACCCCTGTGTAAAATATGGTATCTGCCGCTTCTCAAAGATCGTGTTCTGTAACTGACGCCATTTTGGATCTTTTGCAAGGAGGTATTTTGCGTATATCCATCCGTCTACCGTGAGCCAACATGGCCGATACGACTCCTCAGTTTCTTAACATGTGGATAACTCAAAACGTCGCTCTGCGTGAGCTCGTGTTTTCTTCCTGCGTGCTGTAGTGGAGCAGCATGGCTTCATCTGCGAAGAGGCGAGCTATTGAAACGGGACAAAACCCCCAAGACAGCGATAAAAGCTCGGACGAGGGTCTGGAAGACTCTGGCGACGAGGACAGTGAAAATTTAGAAGAAGAAATAAACGAGGTAAGTTGCGATTTTAATTGTTATTGCAGCCAAAAATGCCCTGATGTGCAGGCCAGACTGGCTCTGCGTTGAAATACGTTGTATTGTGATCAATAAATGTGTTTCGGTTTGTGTTTAGGAGGTTATTGTGGACTTTGAAGCACACGCGATATCTGACAACGACTTCCATGGCATTAAAACCCTTCTGCAGCAGGTACAGACTCAGAGACATTCATGTTTGCATTGCACTGAACATGCAGATATCATTTACACTGCACAATTTGCACTTCAGCAGAGATTAAAATGACAACGAATATAAATGCATTATATTTACACACACACACGTATGTTGTTGTTTTTCCAGCTGTTCCTGAAGTCTCACGTGAACACATCTGATCTGACTGACATCATCATCCAGCAGAATCACATTGGCAGTGTCATCAGAGTGAGACTCATTTCAATCAAATTTCTATTTTTATTGTTTATAATTTGTTCACATAATTCAATTGACATTGTATCTTAAAATATACTGATCATCACCATAATAATACTTAAAATATTCATTAATAGCAATGAACATCTGGATGAATAGTGTCCAGATAAATTTTTTTATGAAATACAGTAAAGTTAATGGTCAAAAATGAGATCCTGGTTGCAAAAAAAACAATTCAGCTTAAGAGAAATCCATTCATTTTATTTATAAGCAAATTATCACTCAGTTTTGTGAGACTAAATAATAGTGTAATTTCTGTTTTACAAAAATTAATTCCTTAACGTTTACTGTTAATAATGTATATTTCATTAACAGATGCAATTTTATATGTAACTTAAAACAGTAAAAAAAATAAAATAAACAAGGGGCCACAAGGAGGTACTAGAGAAAAATGTAAAGAAACAGTGTAACAAATATATCATATATAACATAATAAAGACATAATAATAAAAATAATAGATCAAAATTAATAAAAAAATTAAATGGTTAAAAAGAATAATAGTATAAATGAATGAATAGAATATATATATAATATAATTACTGAAAATAATTACAATAATTAAAAAATATTTAAACAAAAAATACATCAAACAGTATTGCTACATTTTTTAATTTTAGCATGAGGGTTCCTCGCACAAGGATGATCATGTTTGGGGGTCTGTGGATTTAAAAAAAAATTGAAAACCCCTGCCTTAAAATATACTGATAATCACCATAATAAAATTTATAATATTCATTAAACGTAATGAACATCTGGATGAACAATGGCCTTGTCCTTGATTATAATATGTGACCCTGGACCACAAAACCAGTCATAAGGGTCAATTTCTCGAAATTGAGATTTATACATTGTATGAAAGATGAATATATAAGCTTTCCATTGATGCATGCTTTGTTAGGATATGTTAATATTTGGCAGAGATACAACTATTTGAAAAAAAATCTAAATATTGAGAAAATCGCCTTTAAAGTTGTTCAAATGAAGTTCTTAGCAATGCATATTACTAATCAAAACTGAAGTTTTGATATATTCACAGTAGGAAATGTACAAAATGATCTTTACTTAAAATCCTAATGATTTTTGGCATAAAAGAAAAATCTATCATTTTGACCCATACAATGTATTTTTGGCTATTGCTACAAATATACCCCAGCGACTTAAGACTGCTTTTGTGCTCCAGGGTCACATATTATCATTTCAATTAATGATTTAAACTATTTTTTCTGTGTTTTACTCCAGCAAGCGGAGGTACCAGAGGACAGTGATGATGAAGCTGACCCAGACGAGGTGTTTGGATTCATCAGCATGGTGAACCTCACTGAGAGACAGGTGATAATACTTGTATTTATGAGTGATAACATGAATATCTCATGAGTTTGCGGCTCTGGATTGTGCTGTTTGTGTCCCGTCTGAGAGTCCTCTGTGTGTTGATCAGGGTGTGGAGTGTCTGGAGAAGCTGAAGGACATGCTTATAGAGCAGTGTGCTAAAGCCAGCTCCCCGGATGTTCAGGAGGGGTTCGAGCAGCTGCTGCTGGGTAACGGACACTCTGTCGGGCTGCTGCTGAGCGAGAGATTCGTCAACGTCCCGCCACAGATCGCCCTCCCCATGCACAAACAACTTCAGTAAGTGTTTAATGGTCCTGACCAGCAGAGGGAGTCAGAGTGTGTGCATCTGAAAATAATACAGATAGGGTACAAAACTTTCAAAATTTAAGGCAAGACACTACATGCAAAAACATTTTTTTTTTTCGTGCACTGGTCAGTTTTGAGATTTTGGTTTATTTGGCTTTTCCTAATGTGTTGTTCAGACTAGTGGAGAGAAAACTACTGAAATACACTTGTGTTTATTTAATTGCACTATTGCATCTATTAGTGTCTGTAGATTTCAGCTGCAGTGCATATCTTTAAAGGCTTTTTGGTAAAAAAAATAAATACGTTTTTTCTCCACTTCAGCAGCACTTACACTGCCGGTCAAAAGTTTGGGATCAGTAAGAATTGTGATGTTTTTTAAAGAAGTCTATTATGCTCATCAAGGCTGCATTTATTTGATCAAATATACGTTATTGCAAAATGTTATTACAATATAAAATAATGGTTTCTATTTTAATATCCTTTAAAATATAATTTATTTTTGTGATCAAAGCTGAATTTTCAGCATCATTACTCCAGTCTAAAGTGTCACATGATCTTCAGAAATCATTCTAATATGCTGATTTATTATTAGAATTATCAACAGTTGTGCTGCCATATTTTTTTTGGAAACGGCGATACTTTTTTCAGGGTTCTTTGATGAATAAAAAATAAAAAAAGAACAGCATTTATTCAAAATATGAATCTTTTCTAACAATATAAATCTTTGCTATCACTCTTGTCAATTTAACACATCCTTGCTGAATAAAAGTTTTAATTTCTTTCAAAAAAAAGAAAGAATAAAAATGTACTGACCCCAAACTTTTGAACTGTAGTGTATATTGTTAGAAAAGATTTCTATTTTAAATAAATGCTCTTCTTTTTAACTTTTTATTCATCAAAGAATCCTGAAAAAAAGTATCACAGGTTCCA